CCCCCCCCCCCGCCCCCTCTATTTGAGAAGCACTGGTGTAAAGTGACGTGTTCAGCTGTTGTGCAATGGAAAGAAGAAACGGTTTAAACACTGATGGAAAGAAATTTCACTGTGAGGTGAACGGATGCCGCTGCTTGTGTCAACGTTAAATGTCAAACCACACTCTAATACACACACACTCACACACACACACACACAGAGGTGAACCACCTGACAGGACAAGTAAACAGAGAGAACAACAGGGGCAGACAGGGTGAGGGTGGGCGTCGGGGGGTGAGTGTTTGTCACGTTGACTCACATGACAACTCTGACTTCACACCAACACAGGAAGTCAGGAGTGCGACCCATTTTGTGCCGAGCTTTTATTTTGCTTGGTCTTCACACACGTGTCACTGGCTGTGATGGAAACAGTTCACTCTGACCTGGTTGGCTCAGAAGAAGCTGTTACACCAGCGATTACACACTTACCAGAAACTGGATCATTTCCATGACAAAGTACACCAGACGAGTATTCAATTCAGATGCATGTGCAAGTGCAAAGTAGTCGAATTGACAGACACTGAAAATGATAATTTTGGTTAAAAAAAACAAACAAACAAACAAAACCGTCCTTGCTCTAACGGACCAACTATGAAATGAGTAAAACTTCATGTTCAGTCAAAGATGTCAAACAATTGGCAAAGAAGCTAGCAGCGAGTTAACCTGATACGATTAGCAATTGATTTGCGCTTTCCTCCGTTTTCAATCAGGTCGGCTTGTCGACCCGGGACTAGAGGGACTTGTTTCTGAAGGTGGTCTGGAGTTCTTTGAGGGTGAGATAACCTGGTTTACAGACCTCCAACGGGACCGAGGACGGTCTACAGGTGGTGTCAGCCACGGGCCAGGCAGCGTAGTTGACAGAAGCAGCTGGGATTGGTTCACCATCCTCATCACCATCCTCATCACCATCATCATCATCATCATCAGCATCAAGCAGCTCTTCGGAGCACACCTGAGGTAGAGTGGGGGGCTGGGCGGGGGCTACAGCAGTGGAGGTGAAGCCGGTGGAGGAGGCGAAGAAGAGAGGACGATGTTTCAGGACGTCACCTAAAACATCTTCATTTTCTTCCTGCAAGTCACCCTCGCTCTCCTGAGTGAAGTCAAATCCAGAGTCGGGACTCTGCGGCTCCCTCTTCAGTCTCTCGTAGGTGGAGGAAGAAAATGAGGAGGAAGGGCAGAGGGTGAGGTGAAGCGTGTGGCCCCGGGGAGGTTTGTGAACTTCATCCTGATAGGTGCAGTACGCAGCACTGGGGTCAGTTGGGGTCAGGTGAGCGCCGCTGCCGGAGGAGCTGGACAGGAAGTAGCCCATGTTGGAGAAGCAGGAGGAGGAGGAGGAGGTGGAGGAGGAGGAGGAAGAGGAGGAGGAGTTCTCACCAACAACCACGCTCCTGTCAGAGGCGGTGGAGGGGACGTCCGTGGTTTGAAGCAGAACGCTGGTGGAACCGGTGGAGGGAGAGGTCGGGGGTTCCACCTCCGAGCCGCTGCACAGCTCCACCGGGGAGATGTGGTCACATGACTGTACGGTGAAGGAGTCGGACACTAACAGCGGATTGAGCCAATTCTGAGGAAACGGAAAAGAAAGACGTTGGCCTGTCAGGATTATATATTTAAATGTGTTGTCATTATATTTGAACAATATTTCATTACTAAATTACTAGAAGTTTAAGGTGGTGTTCTCATCAGCCGCGACACTGCCCTCTGCTGTATTTTTCTCCGTCTTGCCTTTCGGTTAATAAATTGTTCAGGACACTTCTGGGTGGAAATATTAACCACTGACAAATACAACCAATAGGTGGCAGTATTGTCATCAAAAGGATAAAGAGGTGCATTGAAACATCAAAGACCAACCAATAGGTGGCAGTATTGTCATCATTGTAATCAACCTGGAAGCTACGCTACAAATGAGCTTATTATGATCATTATGATAGGATTAAAATAATGACCATTATTGTTGTTTTTGGTGGTGATTACCTTCAGGTTTCCTCCGTGGTCAGACTGTACAGGCAGGAAGTATTTGGACGGGTTTGGCAATGGCTTAAGTTTGAGATGCCTGAGACGGGATGACAGATACTGTAGTACCGGGTACAAAGAAAACAACACATAAATAAAACAACCTGACAGTACGCTCACCTTTTGCTCACACATATGGTACAAATGATGAGAACCACGAGCAGAACGGAGCTTAACTTCACGGCCAGTGTCACAGGTGAGAGTCCATCTGGAGAGGAAATGACATCTCAGTGGTTTAGTAGTATATGAGTCAGGTGTTTCTTAAGAACCAGCAGATCACATTTAAAACAGGAACCATCAACATGTGGCTCCCTCTGCTGGTCCTCGTCTACCTTCATTCTGTGATGCGTCCATAGGTCCAGTCCAGGATGTTGTCGGACTCCAGTCGCTCCAGTGGCTGTTGAGCCTCTTACGCGCCTTCACTCTCACCCTGGCCTGGCAGCGGCCCCTGAGCTGCTCTGACGATGTCCGGACCTGCTGCTCACTTCTGAACAGGTTGTAGGCGGCCTGTCAACAAACCACAGGGTGGTTGGACGTGATACTGTGTCTAAATGATGGACGGCGTGTGTCCTTCTGAGGAAGGGACCAGGACGTTCAATCCACAGATGGTGGCTGTGGATTAGTCGTGACTGAGTGACGTTAATCAACAATCCTATAACTAACGAATTCATTTGAACTGTCATGATACTTATGCTCCTCATGTAAAACTTTGACCAATCACAGGGCAGCATGAAATTAATTAAAAACATTTTCCAGGTCTTTCCCTTTATTCCTTAAACTTCTAGGTTTATTTACCACAGGTTTATATGATTTTATTTTTTTATACAGGGACAAAGCAAGTTCTGGAAAAACAATATTTTTTTTTCATAATTAAAGACAATTAAACAATTAAAATCAATAGTAATAAAAATCTTAAGGCTTCAATCGTCAACTCTCACCTTCCATGTCTGATTTCCACATTTGGCCTGAGTTTGGAAATCAAATTCTTTGATGAGGAGTGACCTGGGAGCGCCCAGGTTCCAGGACATCCAGGTGTCGTTAGTAGTGCTGATGACGTTGGGAGCTTCTGGAGGGTTCATTTTAACTGCACACACACACACACGCACACACACACATAATGATACCATCACATAGACATAATGCACTCCTAACCACTAAAAATATATGACTAATCTAAATCTAGAAGTCCCAGAGATTTGGTCAAAGGTCCA